GCTGGTAGAAATGTAAACATGCGAATAGTATCCATTGTAGAAAACATAGTGTTTTCTTTCAGAAAGGTAGGACGTCAAAATCGCAATATAAGTACTATTAAAACCTAAGTATCGTAGCTTACTAATCAATATATTATGGTTAACCTTATCAAAGTCTTTAGAAAAATCCGTGTATACCACGTGAATCTGGCCTCTGTTATCCAATCTTTGACATAAGCATTGACTGAACTCCATTAGATTGGTTAAAGTTGAGCGTTGCCTGATAAAACCATGTTGATGGATCGAAATATGGTCTTTCACGGACAGATGTATTCGGTTATACAGGGTGGCCCATAAGTCCTTTGAGCTGGAAAAAAAGGAATAAAACCAAACTAGTTACATTATGAAGAATTATTATATTTTGTTATCATCTTTATTGAATGGGAATTATGTTTTAAAAATCACATCGTCTAAATGCAATCCATTACGATCACGGCACTCATATAAACGACGTCTAAAATTGTCGATGACTGCGCGGCAAGTCAACACTGTAATGCTTGCCATTTCTCTTCGGATATTTTCTTTCAGGACATCAACTGATCGCGGAGTGGTGTCGTACACTTTACTGTTGAGGTAGCCCCATAAAAAGAAGTCCATTGGGGTCAAATCTAGACTACGTGGTGGCCAGGAAATGTCTCCTCTTCGAGAAATTACTTTGCTGGGAAAAAGTTGACAGACGACGGGCATAGAAGTGTTGGAGGTGTGGGCAGTTGCTCCGTCCTGTTGAAACCAGGTCTGCGTATTATAGCCTGGAAAATTCTGCAACGCTGGTGTCAAAAACTCTTCTATCATTGCTACATACCGCTTCGAAGTAACAGTTAATGCGCGACCTCTGTCGTCCTCAAAAAAATAAGGGCCTACGATGCCATGCGCTGACATAGCAGCCCAAACTGTAACTTTAGGGCTGTGTAAGGGCTTCTGATGCTTACGCCTTGGATTTTCGGGGCTCCAATAACGGCAATTTTCTTTATTTACATGCCCGTTTAAATGGAAGTGAGCCTCGTCCGAGAACAACACATTATTGAGCGAAGAAAATCGATTCAACATTTCATTCGCAAAGTTTAGTCTCTGAATAGCGTCTTTTAATTCCTGCACTAACTGAATTTTGTAAGCGTGCAGACGTAAATCTTTCCTTAAAATCTGGTGTAAAGATGTTCTGAGTACGTTTAGTGCACTGGAACGCTTACGAGTAGACTGGGTAGGATTTTGACGAACAGACTGTGCCACAATGTTGATGTTTTCTTCAATACGAGTTGTCCTTGGTCGACCCCACCGCTGTTTATCTAACGTCGAACCAGTCTCTTCGAACTTAGCAACCCAGTTCTTAATCGTGTGAGCTGTTGGACACTTTATAAAATTGTGTAAATTGTGGTATTCTCGATATTTACGCCGCGCAATGGTTGCCGAATCATTATTTTGATAAAACGCGCGCACACAAAAAGCACGATCCGCTCCAGTGATACACTCCATGGCGACTGAATTCCCAGACACTGAAGATACTGCCCCCACCTCGCCCGCGCCGCTCACGCTCACCCGTTAAATTTTATTCAAATTTGAAATTTCAAAGGACTTATGGACCACCCTGTACAATATGATCTCCAACAGTTTCGCAAAATTGTTTAAGTGCTCTATAATCAGAAACTAAGTTATAATTCTTTGCTTTTGGAATTGGGCACACCTTTGCAGCTTTCCATTTGTCTGGGAAAAGAGATGTGTGCAAAACTAAGTTAAACAGAATCTGCAATGGAAATACCAATACTTTAATACAATCCTTGACAAAGAATGATGGAATTTGGTCAGGTCCTGCAGTTAGCTTGTCTCCCCAAGAAAGGGAGTGGATATATTGCTCCGATGCCAACAATTTGTTTGACGCGCTAGGACAGAAACATGATCCAAATGGCGCCTGTTCATTGATTCCTCTAAGCTTAGTTTAAAAGCGGTATTGGTACACAACGGTAATAAATATCCATCTGTACCTATAGCGCACGCAGCTCATATGGAAGAATCATAGGTAAATATGCGAGTTCTGTTAGAGCATATCTGTTATAATGAACATGGGTGGGCCAAATGTGCAGATTTAAAGGTAATAGCCCTTCTTCTAGGAATGCATCTGGGATATACCAAATATTGTTGTTTCCTTTGTGAACGGGACAGTCGTGCGCGAGATCGTCAATATGAACAGAAGCAGTGGCCACTACGTCAGGTATTAACTTCGAGCCTCAAAAGCATTGCTCATGAACCACTAGTTGATCCTAAAAACGTGTTACTTCCATATTTGCATATTAAGTTGGGACTTATGAAAAATCTTGTGAAAGCTAAAGATCGAAATGGAAGAGGTTTCCTGTAGTTAAAACAAACATTTCCGAGAATTAGTGAGGCAAAAATTAAAGAGGGCATATTTGTGAGTCCACAAATACAGAAAATCATGAAGGATGACAGTGCTATAAATGAAACTGAATTACGAGCTTGGAATGTTTTTAAATCAGTTACTCCAAATTTTTTAGGCAATGTGAAGGAGGACAATAATTATAAAGATATTGTGAGTGAACTAATTAATGCTTATAAAGGAATGGGATGTAACATATCTCTAAGAATTCACTTTTTGGATTTTTATCTCGATTTTTTTCCGGTAAGTGATGAACAAGACATTTCAGCTATGAAAAACGGTATCAAGGCAAATGGACTGCTGATTATTGCTGGACATTGTTAAGAGATACTTCAGGAGCAACACATCGCCGTAAAACATCGACAACAACATTCTGAGATTAATGTTTATTCAAGTGTTTATTAGTACTCTTACACACATATCCATATTTTGCGAGAATAAGCAGCAAATAAAATGCCTTATTGCAAGAAAGCCGTGGGCGATAGAAGAAATCGAATGCTATTTTCGGCTTTTTGGGTACGTTTTACATAATAACCACCTTGTTTCGTCCATGTCACAAAAAATCATTTAGTGTTATTTGATGATTCAACTACTTACAGGTGTTAGCATATTGACGTTATGAAACTGCCGAATCGTCTCTTTGAAGACGCTCAGATGTCTTCATTTTAAACCCCACTTTAGGCGACCTATTGCCTGTACGATACTTGCTACAAGACAAATACACATCCTCACTTTATCTTGTAAACGATCCAATGAAGGTATAACCAATTTCTGCGACGCCTGTGTATAAAAAATATATCCAAAACCGACCAGACGAATATCAAACGTAAATATACTGCAGGCTGTAGTTACGGCTGTAAATGCGGACAATCAGGATGATGAAGGGGAACTAGAGGGATTGAAGACAGGTCCGAAACTAGAAGGTCCTGAAGGGACGCTCGATTTGAGTTGCTGGGCATCTCCAGGGCTTCACATCATTATTACGGGATTAACGTTAAAGCTGCTGTCGCTTCGGCAACTGTATAACTACAGACAGGGGACCGGAAGTTGGCTGAATAGCTTCTGTGTTGCTACCGAAATTATGCAGCAATATGCTTGGACGCTAAGTGTGTTCTTTTAGAAGTTCGCAAGAGTTAGGCTGAACTGTGTGTGTTCGTGAGGAATTTGACGATATCCCCAACTCATACGCTGAAAAAGACATAAACTTGCGTTACGTATTGCTTCCCACGCCTTTCGACGGGGAAGTACTGGAATCGCGAAATTTTTCGAAAATGAGGTAGTATGCATGTCACGAAAAACCATGTGACTCAATTCCGTCGGTCTGTCTGGTAATCTCACAACCGCCTGTAACTTGGGAAGTATCGCTTGGATTTCGATTAAATTTTTATACGTTGTTATTACAATGCCAAGGACGGAAAAGCTTTGTCGTGTTTGAAGACCAGTCCAGTGGCGTTGGAGAAAAGGGACAAAAACGACGTTTTAGACCATTGATTCCCAAAGTGGTCTATATCGACCCCTAAGGGGTCTATGACAACCTGCAAGGGGTCTACGTCAGCGAAAAAAAATGTCGGGGTTCATGAAATGAATATGGGTGTCCACGATAGTGGATCTCAACACATACACTGATAGTACCTATTTACTTACATCATACTATCTTATAATATTCAAAACATATACATTATTTATAAAAGTACCTATGAAGTAAAAAATGTATTACATATGTTTATAAAATTGTGTAAGTTGTAGGATGTTGGTATTCGCTTTGTGGTCGCAATACATTTTGAACTTGTAAAAACCTGAGAGTCGCAGTCTCAGAGCTTCGCTACCTTGCACTGACTTGTTCAATTCGTCACTCTATAAATACGAATGTGGGACAAATACGTTTATTCGTTTCCTGAATCTTGAAAAGGAAAGTACTAAGAAAATATTTAAAAAAATATAAACAGATAGGATATCACACAAATTATAGTGAGTCAGTGTTATTTTGTTTGAGAGTGCTGGAGATAAGTATGTACATTATTTTTTATTAAATTTTAGTTTTGTGCTCGTAGTTAGCAAAGATAGATAAATTACGCCAATCATGACTTTAGTTATTAGTAGTTAAATATTCAATCATACAAAATTACACGAGTACTCCTCAATAGGTTCTTTTTGAAAGTTTTAGTAATCGGTAATATAATTACTGTGCAAGCTCCGTAATTCGAGCTAATTGTTGCAAGAAGATGTTCGAATTATGGAATGTTTTCGGAAAAATCAAAAAATATTTTTAATATACAGCTGCTGGATTTTCTGTCTTATTTAGATAATTTAATTTTGCCCACAGATGCCTGATGTCATGTCCGAATCTAAAAAGAAATGTAGACAGCACATTGTTGATTATTTGAAATTTGGCTTCATTCCATCATTGCCGGACAAACAATCGCCTATGTGCCTTTTATGCAACAAAGTTTTGGGCAATGACGCTATGAAACCATCTAAACTGCAAGATCATCTGAGAAGATGTCACCCTGATAAAACAGAGAAAGATTTGAAATACTTTCAAACACTCAAAGATAAATTTCAGAAGAGACCTACACTGGACAGAATGTTCGCTTCGACGTCACAAAGAAATGATGATGGTTTGCGGGCGTCTTACAATATCTCGTTACTTATAGCGAAATCCGGAAAACCGCATACTATCGGAGAGAAGTTAATTTTGCCAGCCGTTGAAGAGGTTTTAAAAACTGTTTTACACAAACCTGCATCTGATATCATTAAAAGAATTCCCTTAAGCAACAATACTGTTGAAAGACGTATTGATGAAATGAGTTCTGATATTGAAAGCTTCTTATGTAATTATTTGCAAACGACCCATTTCTCTATACAACTGGATGAGTCAACTTTACCTGATAATACAGCATTATTATTGACATATGTTCGTTTTATTATGAATCAAGAAATCTACGAAGAACTGCTCTTCGCAAGAACTTTGATAACTGACACTAAAGGTGAATAAATATTTCATGTTTTGAAGGATTACTTCATTGAAAAAGCAATTCCTTTATCAAATATAATATCAGTAGCTACACGTGGAGCACCTGCCATGGTTGGACGTTATCGTATATTTATAAGCTATTTAAAACAAAATCTGTCAGGAGTGTTAGCAATACATTGCGTCATCTATCGACAACATTTAGTTCCTAAAAATTTGAGTGTTAGATTGAATCACTTCATTTAGTCATTGATGCAGTAAACCGAATCCGAAGCAACGCGTTGGATACGCGGTTATTTGCGCAGTTGTGTGAAGAAAATGACGAACACTTTCATCAATTACTCCTTCACACTGAAGTACGCTGGCTGTCGAAAGGCTTATGTTTGACAAGATTTTTTGCACTTTTTGAGACTATTTTAGAATTTCTGGATACTAAAGATAAAATTTTAAAAGAAAATTTAATGAAGAGGAAAACAGACATCGCCTATTTAACAGATTTGTTTACAAAATTTAATATGGTTAATTTGCAATTACAAGGCGACAGTTTAAATTTGATTAAAACAAAGTCCACCTTATCAGCGTTTCTTGCCAGAGTTAAACTAATGAAGCAAAATATTGGACGGGGCGAATTCTCTCAGTTCCCCAATTTGTCACAGACAAGCTGCCAGGAAGACGTCGTTTCAACTTACGTTCAACATTTAAATGCCCTCTATTCAGATTTTGAATCTATGTTTGAGGATATTTTGACTATGGTAATACCACCGTGGATAATTAATCCATATGGTGACATAGCAGAAACGAATGTCATAATACAAAAGGAACTGACTGAACTAAGTACAAACGAAGAACTTAAGGTTCAGTTTAAAAATGGATATCAGCAATTCTGGCTGCAAAACAACATACCCGTTACTTATCCCGTATTATGGAATATACCGAGGAAATGTTTAATTTCCTTTCCATCGTCATACCTAGTGGAAAGGGGGTTCAGCGCTGTTACCAATCTCCTAACGAAAAAAATAAACAGACTGGACATCATTAGCCGAGGAGATTTAAGATTAACCCTTACAAAATTGACGCCAAATGTTGATAATTTATTATTAAAGCATCAGGTTCATCCTTCTCACTAAAAATATTGACTTATTGCTTATGTTATTTTATTTATAGTTTATTTTATGTTTATTGGTGTCTGACCAATAAATGTCCGCATTGGGAATAAGTGCCCGCACTGATTTTTTTAAAGAACCCCCCTTCATAGAAAATATTTTTTTTTAAATTATTCTGAAAATTCAAGGATAGGTACACCCTAAAATGCGTTAACTTTTTACCTATTTTTAGATAGCTTTTACGTATAAGAAGCGGAATTTAATCAAACTAACAGTGAAATTATTGTAGAACATACGTTTATGTTATAATTAATAAACGAACTCGATTATTGTACTATTTTAAGTAAAAAACTTTTTTTATTATTTTTCACTTTTTTTTTTAATTTTATCCCTCTTATTTTTTTTCAATGCGGGCACTTATTCCCAGTGCGGGCACTTATTGGTCAGACACCTGTTTATTTAATGTTACGTATATTTTACATAACAGATAAAAAATTTTATTTTGAGTAGTTTTAATTTAAATTCAACTAATAAATGTATAAATTAACATGTGTTTTTACTTTAAGTGTTTAACACTAAACTTCACTACGTACAATTAGAAATTTACAGGAAATCAATATCAGGTAAGTAGGGGGTCTACCTAACACGGAAAAACATGGCAAGGGGTCTACGACACAAAAAAGTTTGTGGAACTCTGTTTTAGGCGATCCTGATCATTTTCGGAAAAAAATTAGCGATTAGCCATATACTTTTTTTCAATTTCGATATTAAAGCCTCGGCACCTACTGGTATCTTGGTGAGAAAGCATTCCAGGGCACGCGTTTAACAGCTTCTCATGTTATGTTTTACCTCAGAATTATTGCCACGATTTTCTGAATCACTCTATGTAAGGCTTGCCTCGTTACACCCAATATGTTACCAACGAGGGATGATAAGCTGATTGCTTTCTTCGTTCAACGTTCTCTATGCGGTTTGGATTGTAGCTTTCATTATTTTTGTAACTGTACAAATCCTTCCGCTTCCAGGCAGCACTTCTATCGAGTAATTACATCCCACTGGCGAAACAAAAATATTTGCTGCAAGAACGTGTTCCAAGCATAAAATAACAATATAATACGGGATATTGCGAGTAAGGGAAAATTAAATATAAAGAAGTTTCACAAGAAATGTGAGTTTAATACGACGTGTAGACTTCAATTTTATTTGTTGCTCGTATAAAGATGTGCTACTTCAAATTGACTTCTATGCCCTTAGGAGCCGGTATTTTCACCATACAATAGACATACGTCAATAATTGATCGATTCTCTATATTTCAATGATTGTTAACATAATATACCCAATTTCACCAACATTAATATTATGGACCAATCGGAAAATACCTTATTGAAATGCAATTTGACAGCTGTCAAAGGTCTCAGAATATCAGTGATTTCTATTGAAATATTGAATAAAATCGTGAAAATTTGACTGTATTATAAATAAGACCACTTCTTAATTCCAACATGATGCTTTTATACAGAGAAAACAGGTCAACTTTCATGTATTTTGATTTGTGTTATAAATTTACATTTAACAATCAGTTACCCCCAAAAGCCAATGGGAATACGGCAAATAATAGGTCGATTTTCTAGCTGTTAAATTTGGCAGCAGATTTGGACGTTTGTTAATGCATGGCAATCTCGAATTTAAGTTCAATATACTGTTATCATTACATACCTGTTGAATAGTGTGGATTTGTCTGTATTTTGCAAGAAAATAGAATATAAAATACATTCCATCCAATTCGTCATCTTCCTTTACATCATAATAGTAATCATTTATCAATTTACGGGTTAATGAATTCTTTCAAAGCAATAAAGACATTGTCCTCTCCATCCTAAAACACAGATAATATGTGTAAGACGAGTCAATCCCTACATCTCCGTGATGCATAATGCAATTATTATGGACATAGACAAACAATTATGGAAAATATATCAATACGTAGGAGGTACTGAGTTAGTCTACTTGACACAGTTATTTTCTTTCAGTATCAAGCTTTGAATGCAGACTTATTAAGTAGTAAAACGAATGGACGTGGTTCTTTTGAAAGCCCATAAAAACCTCATCTAACGCCACCATCCAAGCACGCAAGAACAGAAAAACTCTACGAATTCTCTGATTATCTTTTTTTTCTTCCTGAGCTGGCTATTGTCATCGTAACGAGAAGGGGACATTTAATATATCATTCCTTTTCATTTCATCACTGGCTGTGTCCCGGCGAGAATCCAGATTTCCACCGCCCTCATTCTCTGACAGATTGTATGAGAAATGGAAAGAACGTTAGGATTGCTTGCTCTAATGTACACTCTGCTAAATTAAAAGTCAAAATGCCACATGTTGGAATACTGGTATTGAATGTACGGGAGTGTAGATTATTTTCTTATGTATGTTCTACTAATTCCTCAATGGAGAATAGGCAGAGATTCTGGGAAGGAGTATAATTATAAATATACGCCTTACTGTAACAATGTTCTGTTAAATGTTATTCTGAGCATGCCGTATGTTGAATAATTACTAAAAATAAGTATTAGCGTTTTTTTTTTAAAAAAGTTATTTCTCCACGTTACATCCAGACGACTTTTTTTCTGTCCGCACCACTGGCGTAATCGTGCACAAAGAAGATATATTTCCTGCGTCATTTCCATCGGTCTGTCTATCTGTCCGCTAATCCTTGGAACAACTGTAGCTTGGAAAGTTCTACTCGGATTTTGATGAATTTCCAGAAAAGACTGCTACTGCCAATCATCTTTAAAGCTTTTGAAAATCACATTTAACCACAACCGCGCGACTGGTTATAGCCACTTGCTGTGGTACTTCAAACCCAAAGAATCTACAACAAGAAGTAGGCAAATAATAATAATTCGGTTACTGATAATTAAATTTTTTAATTCTGGGAAATCAAACTCAGAAATTGCGACTTCGTTAGACTTATCGCGGTACAGTGTGAGAAATATTGTTAGAAGTTATAACGTAACGGGTTCAGTTAATATTAAGCCACGATATGTAAAAAAAAGTAATATCACAAATGCCGACCGAAGAGCATTAAGAAGAATAATCGTGAAAAACAGGCGTGCCAATTATTTACAATTAAGTGCTCCGTGGAGTGACGCTGTTAGAATGAGAATTTCGAGGTCCACAACTCGTAGAGAGGCCCACAAACTGGGATTTAGCACTTGCAAGGTAAGTTTTCTTTTAAAAAAGTGAAGTAAAAACCCTAAAGTTGCACATCTTGTTTATAGGCCAAAGAAAAGCCACTATTAACTCCACTGCAGAAGAAAAATCGGCTTAGATGGGCCAAAGAACATAGACAATGGCCACCTCAACATTGGTGTGCAATACATGGAGTGATGAGGCCCGATTCGAAGTTTGTGTTGGTGACAGTCGCAGTAGTTATTCGGAAAAAAAATGAAGCATTCCATGTTGACTGTCTGAAGAGAAAAGTGAAATTTCCAGCATCCATTATGGTCTGTGTATGTCATCAAAATGAGTAGGAAAGCTTCATTTTATTGATGGAAATGTGGATACAAACAAATATTTGGCAATTCTAGAAGAATCGCTTTTACCAGTGATGGAAGAATGTTTGACATCCGGCCAAGATTTTGTGTTTCAGCAAGATGGTGCAGCGTGTCATACCTCAAAAAAGGCTATAAAATGGATGGAAGAAAATAACGTACCACTCTTGAAATCGGTTTCTAGCAGTCCAGATCTGTCACCTATTGAAACTTTGTGGCACGAGATGAAAAAGGTTCTACGACAACATCCTGTCTTACAATCACCGAACTGAGACAAAAGCTTAAAGAAATATGGGATTCTTTTACACCAAATTTTTGCTAAAACTTGGTTAACACTGTGCCCCAAAGAATTTCAGTCGTAATAAAAGATAAAGGTGATGTTACCCAACGGTAATCTTTCAATTGTTGCTTTGTTAACTTCGCGCATTTATTCGCACATTGTTTATTTGTTCAGATGTTCTATTAGTTATAGGTCTTAATATGTATTTTTTACGACTAGAGAGAAAATAAATTGCTTTAGAAGTAAATAGTTTCGTCATGTTTAGTTTATAAAGGCATATTTTGGTACAAATCTTGAAGTGGGCCAACTGAAGTGGGAAGGGGCTCGTATGTACACTCCAGACCTGGACAATTCTACGCACCTATTAGACATATTTCGTACATTATGAATTTCTCCTAACGCTTTCTCTGAGAATGATAGAGTCATATTTTCAGTACACGCGTCTTTGGATTCGGTGTAGGCTACTGTCGTGCCGATGGCAGGTTAGTCATAGCAACGTTCAAGGGCAAGCAATTTTTCTCAGCGGGGCCGAGAGATAACTTCTGGTGGATGTGTGCGTCCCTCAAAACTTTTTGAAGTCTCAAAAATTGTACACATGCTAAATATGCAAATTTTAAGGTCCAGCCTGTCACCTTTTAGCAGGCGGCTGTAGCAACAATGCCAGATGGTCGATAATGTCGGTACGGTACGGAAAAAATTTTTAGATCGCAATCTCGCCAAATGGGTGGGGAATATGAACTAATTTAATGACACTGTTTGACTGACTTGATCCATTGAATTCTTCTACATTTTTAGCTAATAAAAAATACATGCAAGACGTTTTTCTTTGCAGTACTCATGCTCTTGTTTCCACCAAATAATTGTCCCACCAGAATTGGCGATGGGCAGCTACTTAGGCGTCACCATGCGTGCAGCATTTGAACTCAAAAATGTATACACGTTTCCTAGAGAGTCCTCGAAAAAAGTGAGAACTTGCCAATCTTCTGTGCGCAAAGCACTAAATAAAGTCACTTATTATTTTTACGACGTAACCAAAATATCAAGCAGTGAAAAGGTAGACAACGGCAATAAAACTGAAAATGGTTTCATCGTCACCATTTCACATCAAACTTTTTTGTAATTTGAGGAATTTGATGTGGGAAATATTCAACACGACCTATTATACGATGGCGGTTCAATAAGTACCGGTGTTAGAAATGAAAGCACCATTTGTTCCAAAAGTTCTTTTTATTTTTCAAAATAATCCCCTTTCAGAAAGATACACCTTTACCAACGTTTCTCTCATTTTCCTAACCCCCTCCCCAAAAAAAATAGGATTTGTCGAACTCTCCAAAATACGAATCTGTCTCGGCGATGATTTCCTCGTTTGAGCTAAATTTTTTGCCCGCGAGCCATATCTTCATGTCAGGGAACAAGAAAAAGTCGCAGGGAGCCAGATCGGGTGAATAGTGCGACAACACTTAATAGCGCAATTCATGCACTTTGGCGACGAAAACTCCAGATGAATGTGCTGGTGCGTTATCGTGGTGAAACAGCACCTTCTTTTTGGTCAAATGTGCTCGTGTCTTCTTAAATTTTTTGTCGAAGCGGTCCAATAACTCACCATAGTGTTATCCAGTGATCGTTCTTCCTTTTTCTAAAAAATCCACGCCGTTCGCATCCCAAAAAATCGTCGCTATGATCATTCCAGCCGATGGGACCGTCTTCGCCTTCTTTGGAGTAGCTTCACCAGGAAAAAGCCATTGTTTTGATTGTTGCTTAGTTTCTGGTGTATAATGATGAATCCAGGTTTCATCGACGGTGATAACTCGACACAAAAACTCCTTAGGGTTTCGCTTAAATTGCTCCAAACACTGATTCGAAGTTAACAGCCGCATCCGCTTGTTGTCCACCGTGAGCAATCGCGGCACAATCATGAAAACTAACAACTAGTACATTTCAATGGCTGTAACTCTGATACCAGATCAGTGATCCATGGAGTTCCTCAGGGTTCCGTACTGGGACCACTGGTGTTTTCTTATACATTAATGATATCCCCAATAGCCTGTCAGTAACGCACAATGCTGCTTTGTTCTTATATGCTGATGACACTACTTTGGTAAATTCTAATAAATATGTAAACACCCTTGTCGAAACTAGTTCATTGTGTAAGTCGGACCTTGAGGATTGGTTTGCTGCCAATATGCTATTGCTCAACACTGATAAAACTCAGTCTATAATACTAAGCTTACGCAGTCATGAGTTGGAATCTGCTCAAACAGTGAAATTGCTAGGCGTTCATATTGACTGTACTCTGACATGGGAGGTGCATACTCGCTGTGTGGTGGATCGTTTGTCCAGAGTTATATATCTCATACGTAGTCTAAAGGATAGAGTATCTGATAAAGTTTTATTAACTGCTTATCATGCATATTTCCACTCTAAAATGACATATGCAATTTTGGTCTGGGGACACTCTCCACATATGCAAAAAGTGTATGGCATGCAAAGGCGTATACGATACATCTCTGGTTTGAAATATAGAGACCCCTGCAAGGCTGTCGTGTAGAGCCAGTATACCACTTTGGGTATAAGCCCCCACCTTACCCCGACAACACGTCAACAAGCCCCCATCGAATTGCGAGCCTTGCTAACCTTGTATTCCACACGCGTCACTCGAATGACTGCCAGATACAAACTAACCTACCAATCAGGCTAAAATTTGTTGTGCCGTCGTTTGATAGATGGCAGCATACGACGATAACACCAACTTCCCTCAGGAACGCCCTCTGTCGTCAAACGCGGGTACTCATTGAACAAGCCTCGTATTTGAACAACTATTACCGCGAAATAACATCGATCGTCCCGCCAGTGCCCCCTCATATTTTTAATTCCCGTTAAGCGATATAAATGGGAAAAGAACAGAGCAATGAAAGTGGGAGAAAGCAGCAAATTTTGTCGCATTTATCGCAATCGCTTGCATAAATCTTGTTACGGGCAACGTGGGAGTGAATTCAAGTCGACTGGAGAGTCGAGGAGGCTTAATATTAATGGATATTTATCGCTCTCTCCCGTGTATTAGTAGTTACGGTTTCATTGTTTCACTGGTTTAATTTATCGCTTTCGGCTGGCCGGTCCAGTTGATGCAATTTTCGTTACTGCAGTATGGAAATGAGATCCATATTGGAACTTTCATCTAACGAAGATGTATCTCTGGATGCTACCCACTCTCTTTATTATGAATGATTTATCGTTGAGTGAAATATGTAGCAATAACGATGTATTTAGCTGGGTAGTCCGGGCAATATATTCGCGTTTTTGCATAATCTCTCTCAAAAAGGTTTTACTGAGTCTGTAAGCCCAAATTGCATAAAACTTTTTTAAGCAAATTCCAAAATTTGTTTTTTTTTCGCTTGGTAAAAATGTTTTTAAGTTTTTTCGGACCTTCTGAATAAAAACGATACTTTAGAACTTTTCTCTAAAACTGACAGTTTTTGAGATATAACCCAACTAGCAAAGGAGTGCTATAAGCTTTTGGTAAAAGAACCGTTCAGCCATAAAAGCTCTCTATTGTTGTTGCCTGAACACCAAAATGCTGGCTTAATGTTGTGTGGAATGCAAATTTGCTTTCTGTAACATATTTGCTCTAAAATGGGGTGTTTAAAATATTCTTATAGCATAGTTACACAACACCTTATAGGACAAATTTTTAACTGTTGCATAAACGTTTATACAACTATAAGCATATTTGCCGGTTAATCAAAATGGTTGTGTTGTGGCATCCATGGTAACGTTTATAAAACAAACCCGAGCCTTGTTGTTTTGCTGTACAAATTTACTACTTTAGCCAACAAATTGCTCCCAACGGAAGCACTTATACAACTGTTGTTTAGTAACTGTTAAAGGCTATGGCTAAATATGTTGGTATACAACTTCACCATAACCTAACTTTCTGCTGTCATATTTTTGTTAAAATGCCATAACCAATATTTTAAGACAAACAACGCATGCATATTGGTTAAAAAGGTTTCATCAACTGTGCAAACAGAAGATATAGATCTGGTACGAATTCTAGGTAAATCATTCGACACTGTCGGTATTTCATTTCTGACATTTTGTCAAATTGTTGTATAACACCTGCAGGCAACACCAAAATATTCTAATAAACTAAAGACAACATGGAAGATGCTATGATTATACACAACCACCCGCAATATTGGGCAAACATTTATTCCTCTATATATTCTTCACTTCGTCTATACAATACATAAGAAATAGTTTGGTTGCAATAAAGTAGAATCGCTTAACAGAATAGTTGTATAGTTGAGAAAAACTGAATCTTGCACTGACGCAAATGTCCTATAGCGGCTGCAAGAAGCTTTCACTTTTGTTGTATAACTGTTACCTGCAGCCCTTATACAACCTTTTAAATGATTGAAGTGTCCTATTAGGTGTGCCCATTCCGCTTGTACGTATATGGCTGTTCTAAGAGGGTTTTGCCAATGTTCTTACAGTATACAATGCTGTGTAAGGAATACTGTATAATCATTCTTGCAACTCTAATAGGAGTGATAATTGCTAGTTGGGAAGTAATAGAATATTTGAAAAAGTGCAAAGCATGCCATTTTCGATCCCGAAAAACAATGTGAAGAAACAAAATGTTGTTAGCGTTCCTAAATATTCTCCAAACATCCATTAACAAAATCTCGAAGCCTCTGAGGGGATATTGTTATTGTAAAATTTTGTCTCTTAATTTTGCACACGCTCAGTATGATCTGTGTGAGTACAAGAGCGTGCTCGATTAATAGTTAAAAAACAATGGCTTGCAATAACAATGCGTCCTGAAATGCTTTGAAGTTTTGTTAGTGGATGTTAGAAGAATATTTAGTAACATTACAATCTTCGTTTTTTCATATTGTTTTTCATAGTGGAGGATGACATATTTCGCACTTTTTCCAATATTGTATCGCTTTTATCTCGAAAAGTATTAACTTTACAGAAACGTTTCAAATT